TGAGAAATCAGACTATACAAGATAGACCGGTATGAGTGAAATGTTAGGTGAACTTGTTAACACTTTGATTCAATACGCAAATAAAAGTGAATGCGTGATAGTATGTTACAATGAGTATATATCCTCACTGATTAAAAAAATCTAACTGGAGGTGCATGAACTATTTGAAACCATAAGGGGTAAGTAAATATGTAATTTCGGCAAATAGGGCAACTACGTACCGTACTGAATTAATAACTTCGTAGTATTTGACAAAGGCTGTCTTTTCCACATTTACTTAACAGTGCGATGCCCGGGTGTGATATACCACAATAGTATTTACCTTACCTTTTTCCGATTTCTTTTTACCTTAACTTTCCAAAATATCATTAAAATCGACAACAACTGTCGAAGCAGGCACGAACACCATTCGTGCTACGCCTTGAAAGCAGCACACATCCGCTCGTTTTCGTCTCGTCAAGTATGTGCATTGGAGCGTGCTATCGAATACGATCTTCGGACGAAAATGCCGGAGTTGCGCATCATGTTGTTTAATGTCATTGGTCAAACCAATGACATTAAACAACATGATGCGCAACTCCGGCATTTTTGTCCGAAGATCGTATTCGATAGCACGCTCCAATGCACATACTTGACGAGACGAAAACGAGCGGATGTGTGCTGCTTTCAAGGCGTAGCACGAATGGTGTTCGTGCCTGCTTCGACAGTTGTTGTCGATTTTAATGATATTTTGGAAAGTTAAGGTAAAAAGAAATCGGAAAAAGGTAAGGTAAATACTATTGTGGTATATCACACCCGGGCATCGCACTGTTAAGTAAATGTGGAAAAGACAGCCTTTGTCAAATACTACGAAGTTATTAATTCAGTACGGTACGTAGTTGCCCTATTTGCCGAAATTACATATTTACTTACCCCTTATGGTTTCAAATAGTTCATGCACCTCCAGTTAGATTTTTTTAATCAGTGAGGATATATACTCATTGTAACATACTATCACGCATTCACTTTTATTTGCGTATTGAATCAAAGTGTTAACAAGTTCACCTAACATTTCACTCATACCGGTCTATCTTGTATAGTCTGATCTCTCAAGTATTTGGAGCCGCGAATGCTTGTAATTTTCTGACTAAACCCATTTATTAGTTGGTTTATATACCAAATTCAGTAAAATATGAGATATTGGATTTATTAGCTTTTCCATTCTAAACCATATAGACTGCTTTATTTATTCTTAACGAAAATTAATCAATCTCCTCTCTTTCTTCAGATGTGAAAGTTGTGGACAAACCTGTCTAAGCATTGTGAGACTCCTGCAGCACAAGAGGTAATAGCAGAAATAGTAACTATATCAATCAAGAAATTAAGCCGACATAAAGCAAAACTTTCAACTATTCGTCTAATCTTAATTTCCTATTATTTATTCACAGGACAACTATAGCAGAAGGGGAGAAGTCTGGCGACATATCAGTGACAGGGTGATTCCAAGAAATATAATTAGAGTACTCCATAAATGTTTGCAATAGAAAAACAACCTATGGAGGCATGCAAAGACATTTGACCCTCCGGTAGAGTTGTGTATGGCCCCCACATCCTGCAGGGCTTGAGGAAAAAAACTAAAACTTCCCAGCGTAAGATTGCATAAGCGGTCTTATTTGTAAAAAGACACAAAACACGCCAGACATACTTAAAACAGCTTTGGAAAATGAGGATTACGGGTAACTCACTGCACCTGTGTTATATTTGGTTCATCAACTTTTGTTAGTACTATAGAAGAAATTACGGAAGGCGTATAATCATCATTCATGATAAAATACTATCATATATTTTTTGGACAACTTCAATCTAGACCAGGGATCTCAAACTCGCGTCCCCAGAGAACTTCCAGTGCGGCCCTCGAACGCTTAACAATAATTGTAATAGTATTTTGGAAGTTTTTTTTTTATCTAAATGTAATAGATTTTTCAAACCTTTTAAAGTGAGATTGATTATCCACACAGAAAACAATTTACTGAAAGTAGTTTTGGAATATTAATTTTTTTTGTCCACATTTTGACCCAATTAGGAATACACATCAAGCTAGCAAAAGAATACTTGAATAAAACACTTGAGTGATTGAATCAAACGCAAAGTACATGAAGAAAGTGGCATTTTCGAAGAAAATGGGAGTTGCAATATTTCTGCTTTCCACAAAATTTTGAAGCACATTGTTTAATTTGTCATATTTCCATCAATACAATGAAAAAACACAATAAGCTCAGCAGTCAATATGACAAATTCGAAGACCAACTTCGAACAGAAAATTCCCATGTTTTTGTATATTAATATAATTATACAACGACTTGGTTACTAAAAATCAATATCAATAATAATTCAAGCAATCCTATGCCACGCAATGTGGTGCGAAATGTCTTGTCCAAAAAATCTGTCATTTTTTTTACTGATCTATACATGAAATGATAAAATTTACTTTTTTTTGCATTACTGGAATTAATTAAACATTTGCAAAGATTCAGATTAACCCATGATCATGTGGCCTCGTTATTTAGAGTTGGTACTATAAAATCATTTCAGCCTGGCCTTAGTATGCTGGTGACATTTTATGATTTTTTATAATAATTACAGTAACTTGCAAATGTTGCAATAATAGTGGAATGCAAATATCAATATGTAATTGCATTTGAAATTGAAGAAAATAATAAAACTTAATCCAACTGTTTAGTTGCATCACAATATATGTCACAAACTAAAACTATCTTAAAAATATCTTTCAAGTATACATTATCAAAAACTGTTTGCGGCCCTTTTTACAATTTCCAAATCGCAATGCGACTCTCGAAAACCCATGAGTTTGAACCACTGATCTATTCTAGACGATTCAAGCATTGCTTTGGGAAATAATATCACTTCAATTAAATTGAAATAATCTTGCTATATTAAATACAAAATCGTTGCTATCATAAAGGTAAACCAATTCAGCCACTCGAAATATATTGGCCTTCACAAAGCAATGGAGGCAAAATTGAGAGTTCATGAGCTATGAACATTTGTTCTTTTCTTTGTCTTGAACTTTTCATACTCCACAGCCCCTATTAATTTTTTATAATTTTAATTACCATGTGATGGTCATACATATCTTTAACTTGTATTCTCTGTCATGATGTATTATCTCAATGTGCCAAACTATTAATTAGTGTGCATATTTTGCTTCCCGATGACATAAATGTATTGTCTTGTTTATTACCTCAGCTTGGAGTATTGACAAGAAAAAGGTGCTAGTAAATTAGGTAAAATTTTTTTAACTCTTTGTTATAATCAGAATTCACAATCAACAGGAATTATAAACAGCCAACAATCAATAAGAATTTTATGCGAAATCCCTCAGAATAAATTTGTCTAAAATCGGAGAAAGGCAAAAATTATAGGTAGTTTCCACTTTCCATCCACACAAGCATTTCAAGAAGACTTGCTCGAGCCAAACTAAATGAGCATCGTCAGGTGATCGGTAAGGCTGCAAGTTGAATTCAGCCCTGCAACCTCCTGCATAGAAGATAATATTAATTAGTGGGCTATGAGCTAAATTCCTAAATTTAAACAAACCTATCTACGATGCATTATGTACCAGCAATGTTACCTACGATTAACTGAATATGTAATATGTCTAATAAATTCACCTACAAAAGCAAGTTCGATAGGTGCAAACTTTGTGTTATGGAATTGTATCACAGCACAGTTTTGTATGACACCCTCTTTAAATGAAATTTCAATGATTAAGCGCAAACATTAAAATTACTAACTTTGAACTTTGTCATTATCTGCAAAATGTTCCACACAAATCTTTCCGCTATCGCGTTTGTAATCTTCTCTGATAAAAAAAAACGTCTATGATGTCCAAAATTGCTCTTTACAGCTTGCCTGCCATTCCAGCTTTCCAAGTGAGCAAAACTTCTTAGATATAGAGATTATTTTGTTTCGTTACAGGCGCAAAAAGGCAGGTACTACACGTAAAAAAGATGCCGAGTAGCAAAAGCGAGCGGAAAACGGACGCGAAAGGCGACGAGAAATATGTGCATTGGAGCGTATCATGAAATACAATCTTTCGCCTGTAGTCTTATGGAGTGACGTCAGAGTTGCCTATCATGTTGTTTAATGTCATTGGTTTGACTTTTTGACTGCAGTGCTTACATTTTCGAATTATATTTTTTCAAATCAGATAAATGTTAATCCATGTATTGTCAACTTGCATCTTTTGCGCCCATCTTGTCAAGGTTTCCTTCTAAATATTAGAAAACGATAACATATGGTTTACATTGTTCTTGAAATCACTATCATCCCCGAAAAATGTTTCGACAAAAAGAGTTATTAAAGCGTTTGAATCGATTATGATGGCATCAGAAATTGAAAAAAAATATTGGGTCCAAATCCCCTTACTTACCTTATCTACAGTGTAATAAACCGAGTAGGCCAATCCAAACAGATTCCAGTCTTACCAACTATAGTAAATCCTTACCTACAAGTGCGGTTTTGTGTTTAGAGAGGAAAGATAGAAAGAAATATTCCTTATAAAACACATTGGACGAATTATTATTATAAAATACCCACGCTCATTCAAAAACACACGTGTATAACTTTTAAGTTACTTGGCAATCCCCCAATTTCGTAAATATATTATCGTTATGCCACTGGTCATCTTCTAGTGTGAATATTAATCACATCAGCACATATGGTGGATGCTGATCTCGATGACCGTATCAGTCGCTCCTATCCAGGTCAATCAATTTTATCGCTGTCCCCATTTTATTCTACTGATGACTGTATTTTTTGCTTAAATCTCTTTCTTCAAGTGCTTGAAGATGGAAGGAACCTCTAGTCTAGGAACCCACCATTTCATTTTCATTTTTTTCAAACTGAGGATCGCACAAGCCTGATATTTCAGCTCAAATTTTGCCAGTATCAATATCTACGAGACTAACTACCTTTCATTGACCTATGCATCTTTAAGATTCACGATTTTTTTCAATATTTATTGAATATATTTTATTCAGGCGCAGTATACGATACAGGCACATTACATATTGTTCGGGAAAATTCATGATTTCTTAGGCAGGTGTTACTCCCAACGGAATGTAAAACATCAGAAACCAATGCAGGGAATCCAGGTTTGATTGTCACAATCTTCCTCCTCACAAACACATGTGGAAGAAGTCACCCCTAGGCTATCAATTTACCTTTTACAAATTTTCTTGGAGTACTGTAACAATCGATATTCATTCTAAATAATGCTAGTTCTTAGGGTCTTGTAATCAATTGGCCACGTAATGGATCTACAGATCGTTTTATTTTGTCGTTGTGAAAACTACAGAACCAATCGATTTGAAATTTTCAGTGGTTGAAGCTTGTTGTTGCTACAAGGCTATTGTGGGCTTTGCTAGATTCGTTTTTCATGTCATAGTTTTGTGTGACCGAATCTCAGTGTACTGGTGGCCAAGCTACCAGTACCTTTGCCACCAGTACTGTGAAATATTCGATACTACTTCGTTTTAGACTTCTTGTCCATATATTTGAGCACTGCTATTTCGTATAATATATTTTATCCATTAAAGTTTACTGGTCAAAAGAAATAAACTTCATTTCAATATGCCTGACAAAGCCATGTTAAATATGCCTATAGTAATTGTGAATGTTTTGTTGATTACTTCACCAGACAATTTTAATCATTGTGCCATTACTGTTGATGCTTAGTAAATATTATTTGTTTACATGTTTGTGTGAGGGTGCTGCTCTGGTGATGGTAATATATATACAGGGTGTTGAAAAAGTAACACAAAATTAACAGAAGTTAAGATGAACTTCTACCTAAAACATTCTACGACTGACACCTTTCAACAGTAGTGAATTACAGCGAAATGCCAATTAAACATTTCACGACTGATGCTTTTTAACAGTTACTTTTTTTTAACGTTGCCATGATGAAAAATTTTACCTTACTTTTAGCCTTCTTGTCCGTTATTTGAGCATTGCTATCTCGTTTAATATATTTTATCCACTGAAGTTTATTGGTCAAATGAAATAAGCTTGATTTCAATACGCCAGACAAAGCCATCTTTAATAGGCTTATAGTAGTTGTGAATGTTTTGGTCTGATTACTTTACCAGACACTTGTAATCATTGTGCCATTACTGTTGTTGCTTAGTAAATATTATTTGTTCACATGTTTATGCGAGGGTGCCGATTTGGTGATGGTAATATACACTTTTGAACAGGCCAGGCAGAAGGACCTGTAATGTATATCTGCTTTGAGGGCAAATAAACGTTTCAGTCATTATCAACTTTGTCTGGTGCAGACCATAGTTTCTCTGACACTCCTTTCCCAAGCTGTCAGGATTCCGGATATAGTTTCATTATGGTTCATAGCATGGTTTATATGCTTCTTCATGTTTGGTTTTAATTTGGATAAAAATTCAGGCTTTTTCATCCCTTCTGCTTCAGTTTTTGATTCCTCTGAACTTGGTTCTAGGTCTTCTTTATCACTGTTATCTTCTTGAGACCATGACTTCCATTCTGGTCCCTCTTTAGGGTAAGCTGTGGGAACTAGAATTCTGATTGGCGGTACGGTAGGAAGAGTAGAATTGTCTAGAATTAGAATTAAATGAAATAAAAACTCTAGATTAGGGAAAAAGAGAGAGAGAGATTTATTATTTCGTCAACATTATTTCGTCAACCCACAAAGAGTAATTAGCGGTGCGGTGGCGAGCATATTCCTAACGCTTAGCACAATGAGCCACACCGCCGCACTGGGTATGCTATGGTATCAATGGAGGGGGATTTTTCAACCAAACTTAATTATTCAGAATTCTTGCTCCCTAAGTCGCATTAACCGTATGCCCAAACTTCAGTGTGTATCCAACATATAGTAATGAAATATAGCCTACTTACCCAATCTGCATATTAAATGAAGAGTCCCATAATTAGTGCTTTGTGACTGGTCAACCGTGACTTTGAACTTTGACCCCAGCCTGGCAATCTCTCCTTGGACAATATCAGGAACTTTGATTCCAGGGTCGGTGTCACTGTCACTGCTTGGAGCACGGATTCGCACTCGTTTCGTACATGAACTCTCAGGTCTAAAAAAATAAAAGTATGAGAGAGAGAGAAAGAGATTGCAAAACGCGACGGGTAGTGCATCATGCTAAGCGGTAAGTACCAGTATACTCTCGGCATTGCCTCTCTGGTTACCCTGCGTGGGTTCGCAAGTTGTAGCTCAGGTTTCCCAAACTGGGGTCTTCGGACCTTCGGAGTCAGTGACAATATGCACGATCCGCAAACAAAATGAAAAGAGTTTGAAACACATACAAATAGAACATAATCTTATCGAATTTCCGTTAGCCTGCAAGTATTCAACGTTATATGTATTGATTCAGACTTTCATGAGTTTTTTTTGTCAAACTAAAGTTTATCCTTCCTCGTTGGTAAGGCACAGAAATTGATACAGAAAAAGATGGGGGTCCGTTGAAAATAAGATTCAAAAGGGTCCGCTACCCGAAAAGTTTGGAAAATCAAGCTCTAGCTCACACTCCAGTGAAAACAATTCAACTCTGGTGAAAAATTTATTTTACAGAAATTTTTTCACAATATAAATACTCACACATAGTAATCTCCATTTAATACTTGTAAAGCTGGTCCGAACGTTCGTTTCAAAGTATGATTCAGCATTGGTGATTCTATCGCTGTGGCTACGGCATCTAATAATGGCTGGCACATATGTTGGTCTGGGCGTGGCGGAGGCGGGGTCTGAAATGTAGGGCTGGGCATTTTCGAATACCTTGTGATTTCAGAATCGAATCGAATAATATATTTCGAATCGAATCTCGAATACTTGAAAATATATAATTGTAAGCGATTTTATTATAGTAATTGGTCCTCTCAACAAATGAATTGCCGAAGACATAGAATAAATCACCCAAATAGATTACTGAGCGCTCACACAGAATAACAAACACGTTTTATCAATAACTCACTACAGAAAATAGTCATATGTCAGAATTTCGTTGAAAAAATACGACTTCAATGAAAAAAAAATTGGGGAATGCACCTCGACCATTAGCGGAAGGATAAAAACAAGATGGCGGCGATTCGAAATTTAGCTTTGAACCGATTCGAATAATTTACTATTCGATTCGATTCGAATATTCGATTCGAAATGCCCAGCCCTACTGAAATGAGTCAATAAATGTACACATTAAAAGATAGTGGGAATGTGTCTACTCAATTGATGAGCAGCGGAACAACTTTTATTGCTGCAGCGCATCATACTGTTTTTTGTCAATTTTTATATAATTCTGTTATATAATTCTGGCGGAGGCGGGGTCTGAAATGAGTAAATAAATGTACACATAATAAAAAAGGATAATTGTAAGAGATAGGTGATAGGGATGTGCCCACTCAATTGATGAGCAGTGGAACAACTTTTATTGCTGCAGCGCATCATACTGTTTTTTGTCAGTTTTTATATAATTCTGTTAGCTTGCTTTTGTTAGTTTGATTTACCGTATTTATTCAATTATAACGCGCACTCGTGTATAACGCGCACCTTTAAATTTTGAATGAAAATTGGTATAAAATTTTCATTTTTTATTTTTTCTCTACTAACTACTGGTGAGCACATAAGGTAACAACTCACAGCATGAACAAAAATTTATTAAAAGCACACAGTAATTCAAAACTCTTCAAAATCGGATTCAGTCTCTGATTCACCAAACAACTGTTCGATTTCTGTTTGGGTTATGTTTAAATCAGTGTCCCAATCGGCGGGAACATCACTTTCAACCTCTTCTTCTGACCCTGATTTTGAATCCCACAACAAGTCGTCTTCTGTACCATCCATACTATTGCTAATGCCCGTCTTTAAAAAAGTTTTGATGACCATTTCTTTTGGGATGTCCTCCCATGACGCCTTAACCCAGGATGTAACAAGACATAAACCAGGCTTCTTAAGATTTCCTCCAGCAGTCAACTCTTTGTCGTCGGTTTTCATCCAGGCAATCCATTTCTCCCGAATTCTGTCCCCAATTCATAATCAACAACCTCCAGTTTGAATGCAGCCCTATATGCAGAACGTTTTTGTCTTGCCATAATAGATAATGGGTAATATATAATGGGTATCTACAGTACAGTACGATAATGGCAAATAAATATTCTCAACGCAGCGGGAATGTCAAACGCATGCTGAGCTGTCGCATGTGCGTGTGCTTGCACGAAATCGAACGCTTGCACGAATGTCAAACGCACGCTGAGCTGTCGCATGTGCGTGTGCTTGCACGAAATCGTCCTGCATTGGAACGTGCATGCGCGAGCGCACGCACGTTTCAGATGTTTAAAACCACATTTTCAATACCGCATTTCTCAGACCTCGTGTATAACGCGCAGCATTGATTTTTGCCTAAAATTCAGTTCAAAATTTTGCGCGTTATAATCGAATAAATACGGTAAATATTTATCCCAGGGGAGAGGAAATTACAATATAAAGCCTAATTATATGGCTAACCACTGCCTCTCGTCCGGTCACCAGTCCATGTCAGGTATAGAATTACCTAATTTCGTTTCAAATGCATAGACTTGAGTTATCCCACTGTTCACAATAAGTTCAGTTCATGAGTTTCCATTTTAGGCAGACAGCATTTGAGACATAGAACAAGCATTAAATGTATTTGAGATTTCTGATACTTGAATAACTCTATGCAAAACCTGGATGCATGATGAAATGGGGAGTAGAGGTTCATCTAATGCAGGGGCGGGCCATGTAACGGTGACATATAGAGTTACATTTTATACACAATATTTGCGGTGTTACAAAAGCAAAACTAGAGAACAATAAGCCTCGCCCCCAACTAAATTTAATTGCAATATCAACGAATTTCTTGAGTTATTATTTAGCTAAAACATCAAGATTTGGCCCATAGTCCGTAGTTTGCTCCTGTCAGGTTTAATCTCTAAGCCAGGGGTCGGCAACCTACGGCCCGCGGACCGGATTATATTACGCTTCACTGAATTATAGTAACAAATTATAGCTGTTTTGTCGATTATATTCTTTACGCAAAAGAATTTACGTGTAGACTAAATTACATTATAACGTAACAAGTATATAATTCACAATTACTCGTTTAATGAGCCTATAATTTAATTATAATTTAGACAAATGGTAACAAAACGCAGAAAAGTTGATGCTGAGTGCAAATGGTTTAATAGCGCAAAAAATATTCAAATGGTCAGTCTTCGCGCGCTGCTTAACATTTAACTTCTGATCTGTGTGATAAAATGTGATTCGTCGGTCATCCATTCGATTTTTAACTTTCTAAAAATATGTGCGGCCCGCCAATGACTGGCAACCTTTAATTTTGGCCCGCGAACGACAAAAGGTTGCCGACCCCTGCTCTAAGCCATAACCTCCCTCATGAACATAGAAAATCATTAGAAACAAACATACTCACCGGCACTGGTTTGACATCCGACCAATTCTGAAGAACTTTTTCGCACTTGAGTAAGGTTGCCATTGGTAACCGTTTTGTTGAATCCATCAATATATCTCGTAAACTCTTCATTTTACTCAAATCTTTACTGTTTTTTTCCTGCAAAAATTATTCCAATTTTGAAAATCTGATTCACACCCAATTTAATTTTTTCTGAACAAAGCTTGTAGTTGATGGTATCAAGATGTGGTCCAATTTTTTGATTGAACTTGGTTCAAACAATTCAAGCTTAACAAAGTAAAAACACTCTGTGTCAAAGTATAGAATAAGGAAGAACTGAGAGCTTTCTTGTCAAGGCAAAATAAAATCGGTTTCGCTCCTAGCATTGTGACCCTCAAACTGCTCGTTGCCTCATCGAGGCCATTGGCTCTCAGTTGGAAACTCCTGTTCTTACACATCAGTAGCTGCCTTGTTCAGGGTGAACAGCATGAAAATAATCATAAATATATATAAAACCTTGTTTATCATTCTAGACAGAGGGTCGACATATTTCTGCAGTTGTTTTAATTTCTCCATGTACAACGCTTCCTCACTTTGTGTGGAATTCGTTTGGCTTTGACCGGTGGATGGGCTGGGTACAGCAGCACTTGCTGAACAAGAAAATTTTATATGAAAGGTTTTTGGATGCAAAACGTACAAAAACAGTGATAAAATTCGAAAACCACTAGAAACCTTGCCAAAACATGCAAAAACAGTGATAAACAGTCAAGCGTGGTACAGCAGCACTTGCCGGAAAAGGAAAATTTTATGGGAAAGAGATTTTTGGACGCTTATTTTGCAAGTGTTTTAGAGAGTTGGCACTTACAAACTAGGTTGCATGACCAAAATCATCATTTTTATTAAAATATACAACCAGGTTCCGCTTACAGGTATTGATAGCTAATTTAGCCTAGTCTATCACGGCTTTCCCGGGACTAATTTTTGGTTACTGCAATTCAGCTAAAGCTCACCAGAAGACATAATAACATTATATTACTCCATTTACAGCTAATTTTTGGAAACACAAATGAAAACTGACAACATGCAAACAAACAAACAAGCAAAACCGGGGCAATGTTTACGTTCCTGCTTGAATATCTGTCTGAGTTCAAGTGTCTGAGTGACTGCAAAAATTGCCATTGTTATGTCATTGTGCACTTTTTGCTGATTGGTCATTATCACAAATATAAACAAGGAAATTGACGCTCATGGAAACATCCAGTCTCTAGCTACCAAAAAAATCAATTTAAGAAATGATCGTTCTCACCTGGGGAATGTGCAACAGAGACACTTCCTGGAGTCCTCAACGCTGGTGACATTGCGCTTATTTGGGGTGAATTGCTCGGATGAGCAGGTGAGAGACTTGGAATATAGGTGCTGAAAATATAAGATAAGCTTATGAACTTAGCAATAGTATAACTCAAGGCTGTGCAATCTTCATTACAGGCGGCCAGATACAAGTATCTGGGTGAAGCCGCGGGCCGCGCCCTCATTTAAGATAGCCTTTCTTGTAGTTGTAGGCACAAAATATTTTTTTTTGCTATGGATCTTACGGCATTGTTAGGGTTAGGGTTTGCAGAAATAGTGAGTTAAAACGCTTAATTGTTATTAGAGTCTGAAAAGGGTCAAAAGTTCAAGAGCCGCTGATTTAGTGCTTCTAACTCCGCTTGCTGGCAACATGCATTTCCATATACTATTTTCTGCAGAAGCTAGTTCGATAGTCTAGTACAGTGGTTCCCAAACAAACTGAGAAAAATCCATGCTGGACCTGGGCAGAAAGTGAAGAACCAGTGTCTTCAGTGGTGATTGCGAAGCAGCAAAAGACGACAAATGTGTATTTATAAATTTAAGCACTTAATCACTTATCGATATTAATCGGTAAGTATGTTGATAGGTATTTGTCTGTTTTTCTGTCTGTCTGTTAGATGCACGCGATATCTCACGTATGCAACGTTGAATCTGCTTCAAATTTTGCATGTGCATTCATCATAGCTCAGATCAGAAGCCTATTAATTTTCGATGAATTATGTCGTATAATTAGCGAGTTATTAATTAATTAGTGATAGGACACATGGTGTCACTATGGAGTAAGAGCGCTGTTTTGGGGGATCCCCTAACCTTCGATCGATAAGTCTTTGGTCTCTGACCGATATTCTCGTTTTTGTATTATTTAGCTATTAGCCATATTACAGATTTGTTTTGCGGACCAATGGTCTACTAAAGCTTAAATGGAGGTTTTAATAAGGGCCTGTCCAATAAATTATTTGCTCCTCTGATATTACAAGCCCTTTTCAGAATGGAGCCGTATAAATGCGTATAAACAATATCACGTCAGGCAATCAGGAAAATGCTTGATAGTAGCTATAAATTGATATATACTTTTGTTGACATGTGCTCACCTTCCTACACTCCCATGTGGTGTATTGCTGTACGTGCTGTCAGGCATCTTTAATTGTGGCTGAATATAAATAATAAATGTTAAATGGAGATAGAAGTTAGAAATTTGGTGTATTTCAATCAAAAAATGAAAAATTTTAGGAAACAACTAAATTTGATCGTCCTAAACTCCTGGAAATACTTTTAAAAGCGCTAATTTAGATTCTCATTCACAATATTGAGCGCATCTCTCTAATGCTCACCTGCTGTGGTGCAGACCTGTCCACCCTAGCAGGGCGCTGTGAGTAAAACTGAGACCCAGGCGATGGATGAGGCATCCTATTATCAGGGCTATACCCTGTGAGACCAGCTGAAGATAACGGACTTTGCATGCTCATGCTTCCTGGAGAATCAGAAGGAGGACCCCGTACCATCTGCCCACCAAACTGGCGTTGCATATCTAAAGTCAATTACAGTTTCCTCATTACTGAGGGAGAGGTTAAAAATATGGGGGACATATAAATGGTTCTAGGAAATCTCGCCGTAGGAAATCTCGCTACAGGAAATTTCACCGCATTGGAAAAATTGTCACATGAAAAATTGCTGCAAGAGCATTTTGCTGTAAAACAAGTATTTGTGATAAAAACAGTTAGGCTTTTGAAAAATCCCTTTATTAAACAAAGTACCTTTATATTTAAAAAAGATTCGTTATTTAAGAACATACCCAAACCCTATGAGGCAAAATTTTCTGTGGCCATATTTCCCACGTCGAAATTTCCTGGCAAGCATATAAATATGGCTACAAAGGAGTATTGTCTATATTTATCCCAGGAAAGAAAAAAGCCAATATGATGGTTTGATCATATGCCGGTCCATGGCGTCTGATGTAATAACTAGTCCATGTCGGGTAATGGTCAACCAGGTATTTGTTTCAAATGCATGGACTTGGGGGTGAAGGGTTAATAGCTAGAAGCGCCGACCCCAGAAATTATTGATTTCAACCTAGGGTTGGCATACCATCCGGAAAATTCCGGACTTTTTCGGAATTTAGGGTTAAATTTTGGGTCCGGGAAGAATTTAAAAAATGCTCAAATGTCTGGAATCCGGAATTTTACTGCATCTGCAATCGTACTATGCACACTGCTAATAAAGAACATTGTTATTTCGTACCGTGCGCATATTTTTTACTACGCGGCCATGAAAATAGTCATGAACTGTCCGGAATTTTCCTTTTAAAAATATGGTGACCCTAATTCAACCATTATTTATATATATCACATACTTTGCAGGACAGGACCCCTTGGATTCACCAAAGCTGATGGAGTGATACAAAGAAAGTAAACTAGGTTCCATGCTTAAATTTTAAGTGAGAACCTGTAGCTAAGTGGTGAGAAACCCTACAAGCTACACAGAAGGTCAGGAGTTCGAAACTGGGTAAATATGACACACTTTATAAAAATAAACATACTTTGCATGGCAGGCGTAGGCATTCCTTGTGCTGGTTGCATTGGGGGTCGCATTCTGCCCGGATTCTGCATTCCACCTTGGGGCGCGATTCCACCAACCCCCATTCCAGTTTGATTGACTCCAGTCTGGGCCATGGCAGCTGAGGCCCCCATACCCCCTTGATGTACAGTTCCTTGCGCCATCCCACCTTGAACCATCGTGCCCATACCTGGTCCCTGGGCCATTCCTGATTGTGCCGCAGTAGCCTGGCCCATTTGTACCCCACCCTGGCCCATCCCTGAAGGCTGCATAGTGTTTACATTTCCTATTTGTCCTTGCTGCTGTTGTTGTTGCTGTTGTTGTTGTTGTTGTTGTTGTTGCTGTTGTTGTTGAACCCTTTGAGTTACTTTAATACAATTTATTTTCGTTAGATGACTGAACAAGCGGTATTTGAAACAAACAGAGGATTCAATACAGTTATTTTGGTACTCCCGTAGTATGTGTACCAGGTTAGAGTTAGGTCATAATTTTATTCTGATTTTTCTTATTTTAGTTCTATTACGAGTTCGGGAACTGTCTGTGTTAGCCAAGTGAATATACCCCCTGCCCAAAAATTTCAGTCCGTTTACACAACTTGATGTAAAGTCGGCGAATAAAATTAATTACCACCATATTGGTACATATACTTCTGGAGCGCTGTTATTTTATTATAACCAATTTTTGATTTTAGAATTCCCATTTAAATCCAAGATGTTATATCAGTGGTTCTCAAACGGTGGGGCACGCCCCACTAGGGAGTATAGACAATTCGTATATTTGTTAGATTTGACCTCGCCCGCCTTATTTTGGATATTTACATTTCTTCTTTGTTACTTATCGATTTTAATCGGTAAGTATGTTGATAGGTATTTGTCTGTCTGTTAGATGCACGCGATATCTCACGAAAGCGAGATTGGATTTGCTCCAGATTTCGCATGTGCATTCATCATATGTCGGACCAGAAGCCTATTGATTTTGAATGAATTATGTCGTATAATTAGCGAGTTATTAATTAATTAGTGATGGGACACAAGGTGTCACTATGGAGTAAGAGCGCTGTTTTGTGGGATCCCCTAACTTTCGACCGATAAGTCTTCGGTCTCTGACCGATGTTCTCGTTACACTTTTCACATGTTTTCATTAGTTTTTCTATGTGCCAAGTCTAATATAAAAAAGCCGATAATCGTGAAAGTAGAGAGTAAAAAAACTGCAGTCAATTTACTGCATATGGTACCAAGTAAAGGCGTCCGCCGGTTTGAGAAACACTGTCTCAGACCGTGTCCAGAAAAGTCGCCGCATGAAAAATCGCTCCAAGAGCATTTTGCTGTAAAACAGGTAATTGTGATAGCATGAAAAATCGCCGCAAGAGCATTTTGCTATAAACAAGTATTTGTGATAAAAACAGTTAAGTTTATAGGGTTAGTGTATGCTCCTAAATGAGGAATCTCTTTAAAATAAAAGAGTCCTCAAAAACCAAACTGTTATTAACACAAATACTAGTTTTACAGCAAAATGTTCTTGCGGCAATTTCTCATTCAGCGATTTTTCCTATGCGACAAGATATTCTACAGCAAAATTTCTTGCGGTGAATTTTCCTAGAACCGTTTTAGACAGGCAAACATGAATAGTAATTAGAGCAAGCAAATTCTTACCTCGCTTTAAAACGTCCCGGATCATGGAGACATATTTTTCCTGTAAAAAAATACAGTCCGTTGAGATTAACAACCTCATAAATGTGCTATTTTTGCTACTACAGTATCGCAGCCAAGTTCATATTAAAATGGGTTACGATGAAATTAAAAACAGTGCACCAAAAGTGCAATTAGCAACACAATGACAACATTGCATTTGAAGAGCTAAAATTTGTGAAGGATGCATCGCTAAAAGTGAAGGCATTGCTAGCAATGGCGTTGTTCTTTGTAGTAAGCATAAGGTAGAACACTCTGAGTAAAAAAACGAAAACGGTACTTATAACCGCTCCCACCAGCTAAGCACCCTCCCACCCTCAACTAGTGAGGATGGTTTTGTAATATTGATCACAAAACTTTCCTTGTGAACAATCGGTACTCCGGTAGTGTGTGTACCAGGTTAGGTCATAATTTCATTCCGATTTTCCTTATTTTAGTTCGATTACGAGTTCGGGACTGTCTGTGTTAAACAAGTGAATATACCCCCTGCCCATAGGTTTCAGTCACTCTGGACCAGGGTTTCCAAAACCGGGGTCCTCAAACCCCTGGGGGTCCGTGACAACTGCACATGGGGTTCGCAACGATATGAAAAAAGTCTGGTGATATTTAATGATTGATTTCAATAAAAAAGCCGTTGCATATTTTTGGTTGTGCATTGCGGACAAATATCCAATTAAAATTTTATTGCATTTTGCAACGACCTACATGCGTGAGGCAGCATTTTCACATCTTTTCAATATGATGACAAAATACAGGTCTCGACTTGTCGTGGAGTAGGCGAACAAAAATAGTTACCTCCATATTGGTACACACACTTCAGGAGCTACTAGTCTGGTTCGTTATGGTTCAACATTTCCAAACCACACCATGGCGGAGGCATGGAGTTTCACAACATACCATGAATCATATGTTTATTTTTTTTTTATATACCGGTACATATAATATAGTTTTCAGCTGCAACCTGTGGCGCATCGTGCTGAGCGTTAGAAATACGCTCGCCGCCGCACCTCTGATTACCCTGTGGTTTCGCAGGTTCGAATCCTGTGGATATAATTATGTGTAAGATGATTACTGGATTCCTCACTGTCGCAGGGTGGTTCCCGCTGGTCTGCTACGACTTCTTCTACCATCAAGTCCTTGCATCCGAAAAAATATAACTGGCTAACTAATACCATACCAACATGGACTGGCAACCTGACGAGAGGCCGTGGTTCGCCATATGTTTAAGCCGTCTTATTGACTTTCCTCTCTCCTGGGATAAATATATGAATCAGGGTGGTCCAAACCCAGGCCTGTGGGCCACATGTGGTATCTGTGGCCCGCGTCACATTCGGAGAGTAATCAATAAATCGCATTTCGTGTTGTTTCTTAATAAAATTGCCCAGAAAAATCTTTTGACATATTGTTACATCTCTAATGTCACTGAATTGACTAATGTTATGGCTAGCCGAGGCAAATAGCGTAGTTGGATGATGTGCTTGGCAGTCTAAATTATTATCTGGCTTTCTATCTTTTTGGTCTGGAATATATGCTAATGATATATGCATCATAAATAAACTAAAAATCGAATGCGGATTCTATTAGCCTGGGATGGCTATGTCTGATAACTATGTGTTTGCACAATAAAAGTGTTTGTTTTGTATTGCACTGTTTATTCTTGGCACTATTGTGCCCGCAAAAAATAAAAAAAATAAATTTGTGTCTTGTGGAGAATCCAATCCCTATTCTTTTTTATACACATTATAGGATAGAGCTGGGAATTTTTGAATATCTGATAATTTCAGAATCGAATCGAATATTTTTTCGAATCGAATCTTGAATACTTGAAAGAGATATTCATAATAATTAAAAAATTCATATTAATCGTATGTGACTTTTTATTGTGAAAGCACATAAGTTACTGAAAACATATAATTCATCACTCAGACAGTTCGATGAGTGTTCACATAAGATACATGTTTCATCAATAACTCACTAAAAAGTAAGTCACGTGTCAGTATTGCAATATAAAAAAATTGGCTTCGATAAAAAAATTTAGCTTGATCCATCCAAATAAAAAACAAGATGGTGACGATTCGAAATTCTCGTGTGAACCAATTGGAATAATTTTTTTATCCGATTTGAATATTCGATTTGAAATGCCCAGTCCTAAATATTATTAGAGTTCGGCTAATACCAATTATCCAACCAACCTTGCTATTCTTAGCGGCCTCAAACACCTGTTTTTCTATTTCTTCTGCCGATTTTGGATATGGGTTCGTGTACCGTGAGAATGTTTCTTCCCTGCAGATAAAGAAGAATATACTAAAATAATTTTTTTGATGGGTGAGAAGGCCTTGTATAGGTTTCTCAAACTAAGCTTAATTAATAGTAAGCCACAGAGCAGTTAGATCAGGGGTCTCGAACTTAGTTTAACTAGGGACCACCGGAGGCAGAGTCTGCGTGGGTCTGGATCGCATTAGGTTTTCCACAATAAGAGCTTAGTTTAAAAAATTTAAACATTCTCAAATTTCTTCATTTTTTTAAACAGAAAAGAAGTTAAAAACATAAATGAACATATTAAAACTAAAAAAAAAATAGCTGAAGATGTCAATAAGAATTATTAATAGTTACGAGTAAAATGTCTTTAAATTATTGCAAGTTTGAATCCCATGTGGGAATGTTATGTAAGAGGATTGCTGGACTCTGGTAAGATGGTTCATGTAACCGCTGGTTGGTTACGGCTTCCACCATTTATTCCATGCTTCAGAAAACAAGTGACTGGCTAACTAATCCCATATTCAACTTGGACTGGAGACTGGACAAAAGGCCGTGGTTCGCCATATGACAGTATGATTAATTCCTCCTTTCCCCCGTATCAACATGTAAATCCGAAACAGAGTTATTTGCGTAGTTAGGAAGGAATAACAAGATCTAGGGCATGGAAACAGAGGAATGCGGGAAAAAAGTTGGAAACTACTGTAATATGACCTCAAACTGAGTTGTGGGACAATAAATTAATTCAATTCCAAATTAGTTCATATTCCATGCGGAAATAGTTATGTGCAAGAGGATTGCAGAACTCCTTGTCACCCTAGAGCAGTAGTCGGCAACCACCGGGCCGCGGTCCATCGCCGGTCTGCGGACAAGTTAATGCCGGTTCGCAGAGAGGTGACACAAAATAAAACCTCTACAATCTAACCACAAACCCTACGACTAAAAACAGCACCTAACAGTAAACCAGACAAACACAACACCAGGGGTCGGCAAACTGCGGGCCAAACGCGTCCCGAGAGCTAATTTGTTGCCGCCCTCAAACGACAGGGAAATTTATTATTGTCTCTACACGTATTTCGTACTCGCTTGTCAGACCATCATTTGAACAACAAGTTGCCATAAAAACATCATCTTTCACATTGATAATAAGTAAATAAAAACAATGTATTGTTGGATAACATATATATTAAAAAAAAGGCCACATGCACATCTCATTGGGACAGGCTTTCAACACAGCAATATAATTGCAGCAATGCGCTATAATTTGAAGCTTAATTAATGTAGCGATTGTTTGAAGGCGGACATATTGCGGCCCGCGCGCTACCGGAAATGTGTATATTTGGCCCGCAAGTACATGGAGTTTGCCGACCACCGCACAACACTTTTGAGCAGCATGTCTGACTTCATAAACAACTGCCATGTCAGTATGTCGCAATAATGCTGGGTCATTTGTTTTCTCTACGCCCGTATAAGAATGTCTCTCATCAGTCCGAATAAGATCTCCCCAACAAAATGATACAGGCATTGTTAACTTTCCCGAAATCTTATTAATGTAATGCCTGGTTTTCAATATTGATAACTACAAAAACAAAATACCGAAGTAGGCTGGATGTAAGAAACACGACACGCGTGTCAATGTCGACCATATCTCGAATATGAGAATTGGGAACAATACATCAAACAAATACAGATATCGCATTAAATAGCATCACCATCGTTTTTAGTATATTGTCAACATAAATTTTCTAACGCGTATAATTTATTGCATAGGCTTAGTTCGTTTTTATAAAGGTGGTCCGCCAAAAGTTTGGTCAGGCTTTACCGGTTCGTCACTTGAAAAAGGTTGCCGACCACTGTCCTAGAGCAGTGCTCTACAACCTATTTGTTATAGTGAAACCCCTGATATAATGTTTCGCTTTTTATGGACCTCTATGGAACCCTAGGGTTCCGCGGAACCCCTGTTGAAGAGCACTGCCCTAGAGTGGTTCTTCCTCACAATAAAGTTCATGCCATCGAAAACAAATAACTGGCTAACTAATCATACACCCGACACGCACTAGAGGCCGTAATTCACCATATTATGATCAATCCGTCTTGTCTCCTTTCTTCTCCCCGGGACAAATATGTAAAATCTATCCTATTTATGTATGAATGCGATTGTGCTGCCCGGGGTCTAAACACGAATATTTGAATAACTTACAGTTGTTGGCGGACTCTCTGCCTCAATGCATCAGTGACCATCCAATCCTGCTGAGTTGCCATGATTGTAGAATTCACTCTTTCAGTGACACCTTGAAAGCCTTTTTATAATCCTTTGCAATGGAACATGCTTTATTATATCTAACTAATGTAATATTTTTTTTTATAACTCAATTTAATAGAAATTAATCCTGAAATACAAAAATTACAAATTGCTCAAAAATTCTATTCAATAAATAGCATAAATATAAATGTGCGTAAGTTATGATTGAAGGATGCATGTTCACTAAACGATCTAACTACTTCTATTTGGCATGGCACAACAATTTTGCATATCTTATTCCTAATCCCCACCTGGATCTATCTTTCAAAGATTAGGTCGCTACCACCTCACAATAACGTCGAAAGTTTGTTAAAGGATAGCTGCGATCGCACAAAATGGCATCTTCGCCAACGATGACTAACTCTCTCATATCTGGTTACGACGAGAAAAATAGCTCGGTCGATTTCGGGTGATCGTCTGTGTGTCTTGGATGACAGTTAGTATAGTTTGTAGGGTTTTATTACGTTACTGTGTCATCGCAGTGACGTATTTTTTCAATGACATAGTCAGGTGGGGGTTAGGAATAACATAATATGTATAAATGGTTATGCCACGCCAAATAGAAGTAGCCTACTTACGTCGTGTTGTGAACATGACCCGATCGAAGAGTACTAGGCTTTTCATGAAAGACAGCACATGGAAGCTAATTATAAATTACAAATGTAATTCTGAAAGATAAAAATTAACCAAACGTTAAAAATGTTGATACGTTGGAAAATAGCTGTAAATGTTAGCATATTGCGAAGCTTGCACACTGAAATAATAAAAAAACAATTTATGAGAAAAACACACTAAACAGTCTTAAATAAATTCCATTACAAATTGATTATGTCTTATTAATAAAAGACATTTTATGTGTCAGTACATGTCAGCTAATTATAAATACCAAATATAATTCTGTAATGTAAAATTACCAAATTATTTAAACCTGTTAAATCCTCTGCAAAATAATAAAATGCTAATACATGGCTTATACATTCATAAGTAAATGTTAGTACATTGGAAAGTCTGAACACTAATAATAAACGCAAAAACTCGGAATAAAAAACACTCAACAACTTTAGGGTTTAGTACGGTACAGTGATATCTTGGAAGTCGAACATAATTCGTTCTGGATTTTTGTTACTGGACGTTTGAGCAAATTCACAGTATGTGGGCTCTATGGAATTTGCTTTTTGTGTGTGATGACGTTGTCAAAAATAGCAGGCCTTGTGGCAGTTTCGCTTTCATGTTAGTCGTGGAGATAATCGTACCGGTAGTCTACTGTGACATATTGCATACTGGTACTACTTCGTTTAGGCCTTCGTGTCTATATATTTGAGCATCACACCGTTGTTGAATGATCAAAAGGCAGCCTAAAATGCGCAGTTTGGATGACGTCATATCACTAGGCGGCGCTTGGGTGTTCGAGCACCAAATTTCCTCTTGAGCACTTTTGTCTAGAATTTCTTGTTCGACTACCGAATTGTTCGAGTATCGAGTCGTTCCACCAACGTGGTATCACTGTAATAAGATTTTGCCTTAACCTAGCTTGTTGAAGTATAGCAAGCTAGTTACTATACAAATCAGTACAGTGGAAAGCATAAAAAATATTGAAGATAAAACTTTAAAAAATAAATTGAACAATTTCAAGGTCTAGTCTGCGATATTACAATTTAAATCTAACCTTTCGTGTACTATTTACATGTGAAAAATAGCAGTACTGACACTTGCTGTTTGTATGAGATTATTCCGACTGGTTAAGTTGGACGGCAGATGGAATTTCATTTCATTAAAATTTACTTTACTGTCTGGAAATTCACTCTAAATGATTGGTACAAAAGTCTTGTTTTATCACACTTTTACAAATGTTATTCAGTAGCATTGCTGACTTCGTCATACAAGCAGTTTACAAAGTAATCGTGTGTGAGAGTTTTGAAGCACTTAATACAATCAGTACATATGGATCCACCCACACCAAGGCAGAGCTAAAAGAGCTGTAATTAGGTACACAACTACATCAAAAATAACTTTGTAGCTCTCTGGGGAAAATTGCACGAGAAGCACTGTTCATTTTGTCAGAAAAAGAATTGTAGACAACGCAGAAAAGCTTCGGAAATCGATCATAAAACAGGTTCCACACATCTTCTCTGGATTTAAGCATAGTTGCCAAATTCTTATGTTCTTGAAAATGCTCATCAATGTTCCGAATGAATCTAATCAAATCAATTGGACATGAGAGATTATATGTAATCCCTTTGGAACCTCCATTTGCTATAGATTCGAGTTTAGACAGAGCTGCTGGTGTCATACGTGACCGATTCCGTTGTAGAATTATCAAAAGCCAATCAGGCTTGCTATATTGCCTGCCAATGCTTTGGTGCATGAAAATTGTGCTCTTTTTCTGAATTTCCTTTTTGATATGCTCCCTATGACCATCAGCCTTTTTGGAATACAAATACTTCTTCACTTCATTCAAAAAATCCAATTTTTTGTTGCCTTCCCAAAAGTAGGGATGTGATAAAACTTGATCACCAGTCGGACGAGAATCTGCGTTGAAACTGATCATTTGCTTTATCAAATCCTTTGCCATTTCAGCATTCAGACAATTTATCTCATTAAGAGGAGGAACAACACCATCAATTATCATGGACTTCCATCTGTGTTCTTCATCCCCAAAGACATGCCTACCATCCGACAACGTGAAATAAAACACGAGTCCAGCAGAATAAATGTCCGATTTATAAGACATTGTATTTCCTTTGTAATGCTCTGGTGAACCCCATCCATCAGTGCCGATCTCTCTTCCAGATTTCGAAAATTTGGATTTGTTTGGTATAATCTCCTTACTGAGTCCAAAATCAGCAATTTTTATACTTTTTTTATCTTGAGAGAGCAAGATATTCTGTGGCTTCAGGTCTCTATGAGCAATCTCATTACTATGAATATGGCGTAGTCCTTGCATTATCTGCTTCAGGACATCTTTTGGGTCCATTCCCAGTGATTTTTTCGATACCAGTTCCCATAGTGTTTCAGTATCACAAAGCTCAACAACAATATAGACAGACTGCCCCCCAATTCCATCTATTTTCCCAGATTTTCTATAAAGAACTGTGTTAGGATGGCAAACCAGTTTCTGGTTGTTTTCTATTTCTCTATGCAACCTATCTTGATCCATCACATCTACTAACTTGATTGCAACTTTTTCCAATTTTGGGGAAGCCCCTACCAAATATCCTTCATAGATTTTGTAGCCCTTTCTCAAAGGTCGTGATTCGTCTAACAAGACATTTTTGTCAATCTCCTTGCCTGAAAAATGAGTTTAATGGAAGTCTTTTTATATAATGCCTATGCAGGCCTTTCAGTTGGAACAAGGCCATATACAAGCAGCCACTGATCACCCGACCCTGTTCCAGGCATTTGAAAAGCATTGTATAATAAAAAATTAGACCATGCTTGCAAATGTATTTGTTATTTTGTGTAAAAGGATTATATTATTCTTAAAGAAGTAGCTGGCAGAGAGTTTTCTTTGCTGTTGTAAGATATTGAAACTTAATGCGATAACCTCACCATTTACGTTTGCTTCTTGACACATTTTAGGAAATTAGTGATACTTACAAATCCTTAGTTTCTCTGAAGTGATTGTGAATAATAAACCTCCCAAACTATTCCAGGCGCGAACATCAACGTGATAGTATTTAGTCGGATCAGGCGATTTAATTTTGTAGTATGGCTCTTGGGTTTCAAACAGATCATCAAGTATTTCATGATTTTCATCACCACAATAAATTCGACCGCTAAAGTGCTTTACAGTTCTTTCATATTTCCATTCAATTAGAATATCGCGCGATTCTCTACGAATGTTGATCTTTTCGAATTTTGGCTGCAAGTATAGAATAAATGATATTTGGGTATAAAATCTCTTTGGTACTTCCGAAGTATGTGAACCAAGATGGCGGACACCAAGACGTAGTAGGTGTACCAGGTTAAGGTTAGGCCATAAATTCAGAACTAGTAATAGAACTCAAATAAGGAATTTGGAGTAATATTATTGTCTAACCCCCAACTTGGTACACATACTACGTTTGGTTCACATACGTCAGGAGTTTTTTTACTAATACTGTATTTCTTCAGACGCATTTTCAAGAATAAATTTCACTCTCAAATAGGGGGTTTATTCTCAACTGGCTAATACATATATCGAATGATTTTGTATGGCAAAGTCTGTTAAAACCAGATCAAGTTTGTTTTCGTAAAAGCATATTCATAGAATTAACTATTCTACGCTACCAAACAAAGCCAAAATTTAGCGGTAAAAAGGTACGACAATGGGTTAAATCAGGGGTGTGCAACCTTTTTCGCAGGCGGGCCAAATATCAATAACCAAAACAAATTCACTGAGAAATTTGCTGCTGGATTCTTTTCCTGACTACTTTTGTCCAAATTTGCTTAAATGGAAGTGCTAGCAATTCGATGCGACGCCCATTTTAGAACAAATATATATTACCGATATTAAGTGCCATATTTGAAGCCATGAATTTTTCAAATGTGGGAAGTAACTTGATTGAGAAGTTTTCAGTAAAATGCGCCAAGATTCATTCCCAAATAATCTGCTGTCAAATCTTATTCTAGGTTCGATTTAGACAACATCAACTGATAGGCTGGAACCAAAACTCATTTAGCTACTTTATCTTTTAATATTAAAAATTTTCAAACTGCTATTCAGTTGCCTCCGCGGGCCGCACAATTCTCCCTTGCGGGCCGCATTTGGCCCGCGGGCCGCACTTTGCACACCCCTGGGTTAAATGATGTCTTATCTAGTCTGACCATTTCCTTCATTTCGCTGAATCAGCAAAAACATTCACTTCATGTTTATGGAATTTATGGGATCTATTTTGATTGGAAGTTAGAAGCGAAGTTAGACTGTTGACTTATAGGACTGTGTTCGTTTAATTTTTTGAACTTTATTGGTATTAAATGTTTTGAATGAGCACCTTTAAATATATTAAAACCTTTATACTTCACAGTAACACTTAAATATTTATGAATGTGAGCTCAGTAGTCTATGGTTGCAGTAGTCTGCAGTCGCCCGACAGGCCGTCAACTCACCAGTCGAAC